GCTTTCAGCTGAGACTTTTACAGTGCTTCTGAAATCATGGCTCAGGACTTCAGTTATTTGTTTAATGGGCAAGTTACTCATTTGTCAGTCTAGAAGGTTCTTGGTCAACATTCCATTTAATAATTTCTAAAGACAGGAGCCTGCCTCCCTTCCACCCTATGGTGCCCCCTCATCCTAGTTCATATTACAGCACTAGTTATTCCCAACATCATTGTGGCCCCATTTGAAGGAGTTAATGGTTCCTAGGAAATCTCCAGTCACTTTTTGGTGTCTTTTTTGATACTGACTTGAAAAAATGGACCCTCTTTCCTATTGAGATACATGACACAGAGCAGCAAATGTCAGATTTGTTTTACCAACTCAACAGGATAGTGTTTATTGTTAATACACATACTATACAGCCCACCCACTGGAGGGTACAGTTCTGTGACTTATCTATTCACAGAACTGTGCCACTGTCCATCACGGTGGTCTGCAGAACATTCCAATCATGCCAAAAGGAAACCTCTGGCCATCTCCACTTTATACTCCGATCCCCCACCCAAACACAAGTTTACTGAAAAGAAAAGGAAGCAATTCTATTTTTCATCACATCATCACAAAGAATAAGACACTTAGAACTAAATTGAACAAAGTGCAAAACTTGAACCCTGCAAAGCACAAACTTCTGTTGCAAGATAGGGAGGAAGACGGAAATGGACACTTTGCCCTCTCCCGTTGACCTGCATGTCATCCCGGCTTTCTTGAACTTGAGTCTTAGTGAAATATCTCCACCAAAACCCTGACTGCCATCGAGTTGATGCCAACTCACAGCGCCCCTACCGAACAGGGTAGAACTTCCCTGTGAGTTCCCACCACTGTAACTGTTGACGGGTAGAGAGCTCCAGCTTTCTCCCGATGGTGGCTGGTGGGAAGTGGCCAGTGGTTTCGAACTCCTTATGCCACCAGGACTAGTGAGACACCTCCTGTCTGCCTGTTTTATGCGTTGCAGGCCTATGCCTGGCTGTGACGAATGGTGAGGTGTGGGACACCCAAGGTGTGAGGCGATGGGTAAAGACCAGAACGGTAGCCTGAGCTCAGGCTCAGGGGAAGTTTCAAGTGCTGGGTAACTGGGAGCTTACACGGTTTTTAGAGGAACTCATGCTTTATCCTGTAAGCGCCGAGCTCAGAGCCTTTTTTGTGTAGAGGAGTTAGTTACCCAATGAAAATGAGTTCTCTTCATTCTCCAGCAATTAATGATCTCATGAGTAAAATGAATTGGAGACGAGAGAAGCCAGAACCTATTGTTATGACCCAGATGCAGTGGGACTGGGAAGAAAGATTGGAGGGACCTTACAAAGGGTGAACTGAGAGAAGGTGATGAGTCATTGGATGGGGCTGGAATAAACGAGGGCTTTTGCAGTGCTGTTTGGTCATCTGGTGCTTTCTGTTTGCTAGCTCAACCCTGGCAGCGAGGCTTAAGGTTAATGAGTCAACTTGGTTGGGCCATGATCCTCAGTGGTCTGGCAGTTAGGTAATGACGTAATTTGGCAGTACTGAGATGATGTAGTCATCCTCCATTTTTACACACCACCAATTTCTCCTCACAGTCTGGTCTTAGACACCTACCCATGTTGGTGAGAGAGCAGAGCGTGTAAATGGAAAAAGATGGCCCATGTTCTTGGATCAAATGACTTACTATTCATACGAAGGCAACCTTCCCCAAATAGCCCTGTCAATGAAACCCACTCCCCATCAAAATCCCAGCAGACTTTTTAGCAGAAGTAGGCAAACTGGTCTTAAAGATCCGTGTGGAAGAGCCACAACAATCTGGGCAAAGAAGCAAAGAACTCCCAGTTTCAAAACTTACTACAAACCTGCAGCCATCAAGGATGTCACTCAGCTTGGTGGGACAGTACTCAGAGTCCAGATTTTTTTAAGTTGGTGTCCAGTTGATTTCAACTCCTGGAGCCCTTGTGTGTTTCAGAGTAGAACTGCACTCCAGAGTTTTCAGGGGTTGTGAGTGGGCTGTGGTCCGCATGGATGGTAGTTTGAAACCCCCAGCTGCTCCTTGGGAGAAGGAGGGGGCAGTTACAGTCTCAGAAACTTGGGGATCGCTGTGAGTTGGCATCAGTTAGATGGCAGTGAGGTTGGGTTTGGTTTAGTAATTCTTTTGGAAGTAGACCACCAGACCTTTCTTCTGTGGCACTTCTGCATAAACTTGAACTGCCAGTCTTCCAGTTAGCAGCCGGGTCCTTAGCTGTTTGTGCCACCCAGAGACTCCAGTCCAGAAGTAAATTGTCATACTTACAGTCATTGCACTTTACTGCAGTGCTTTGCAACACACATGAAAATATTACTGTCTTATGTTAGGGATTCTTTAGTGTACCTCAAAGTGTTTAAATGTTTTCCCACCCATAGCAACCCTGGAGGACAGAGTAGAACTGCCCCTGTGGGTTTCTAAGACTGTAAATCTTTCTTCCACAGAGCAAGGCCCCCACCACGGCTCTGGGACTCGTTTAGGTGTAGAAGGGTGCACATGTGTACTGCATACACTGAGACGAGCATCTGATGACAGAGGCTGGGAAGCACACCTCCTGGTTCTGACTTAACCTACATGTTTGACTCTCGAGACAGACCTAGGAACGGCACTGCCTGTGCTAAATACTTCCTGTAAATAGGACCATACATGTCTGACTTCTTTCCCTCAACATAATGTTTTCAAGACCAGTCTATGTGGCAGCATCAGAACTTCACTTTCTTTAGGGCTCTTGTTTGTCACTCATCTCTGCTGTGCTTTCAATGACTTCCTCCTTTCTCGTTCCACTGGATTTCTTTTTCTCAACGGCTGCATCTCGAGTTGGACTTGACCGTGCTATAAGGATTGAATGCACCACAAAATCATGACGAAAGACCGAGAATGAAGACTAGTAGAACTTGGTGCTGTAAAGGGAATAAATAAGAAAGAAATGATGAGGGAGTTTGTTTGAGCTCATTGTTAGGTTAATGGTTGATTTTATATATTTTAAGTAACATTTTAGTTGGAAATTAGATGAGGGTTCACATCTCAGACCATCAACATTGTATCCCATAGTTCAAACTGCTAGTCAACCCCTGCCAGTGGTTTCCCCTGCACCTCGCTCGCCCCTTGATTTCTCATCTTCCTCTGGGGGACTAACTGCCATCTTCCATTCCATCCAAGTGAACACCCAGTGGCGGACAAACTCTAGAGATGGGAAGAGCTAGTCCTGTGCCTCACAGAATTTAAAAATTATTCGAGAGATAGAAATTTATTTTTATAAATGAAATCACCATTATCTGAATAATATCCTTTAAACATTTTTCATTTTGACTTCAGAGCCACATGGCTCTCGAGCCACAGTTTGCACCCCGCGTCTAGCCCATGGCTTTATCTCCCCTCTGTGGGTCCCCCCTCCTCCCACCTCTATGGGTTTTTCATTACTAAGCGGTGCACTTGCTTTGGGCTGTTGACCTTTCCACGTGTCAAAGTAATCCGATCTCCCTTGCCTCCTTAGCCTCCGAAAGAGGGAAACTGCTGTGCACGTTCTTTTGTTCTCATTTGTTCCTTCCCACTCGTAGGCCCTGCCTGTTTCAGGCCTGGTCTGGTTTCAGGCTGTAGGCGCATGTGTGTGCCCCTGGCTTCCATCCCTTCTCCGATCATATCACTCGCCCTCAGCAGCTACCACCTCGTTTCAGATGGCTTTCTGCAGAGGGCAGGCTCATGCCCTGTGAAGCACCCCCAGAGACAGGTCTAGCAAGGCTCTTTGGATCGATGAAGGCTCTTTCTCCATGAACCCCGGAAGGACTCCTCCGTGGGCTTCCTGCCGTTTCCTCCTACGATGACAATTTAAATTCCGTTATTCCAATGACAGGCTTGTCTCGGAGGTCAAAGTTATTTCCTCCTGACAAAGTTTGCTGCTGCTGACCCTAGGTTCCATGGAGTCATTTTGATCCTTGGGGACCCCAGGTGATAGTACATTGCCTTGTAGGGCTTGTGGGAGTAGGTCAGCAGGTCCCTCTCCTGTGAGGCCTCCTGCACGAGTTTGAACAAACCCACCTCTCGCTCAGCGGCCAGGTGCTTCCCCATTGTGCCACCAGGGCTCCTGTGGGAAGCTTCTGCTCTCCTTTCACGTCCTGCCCCTGGGAAATAGCCCAGGTGTGAGAAAGGATGGTGCTAGCTAGCTCGCTTTCCTTACAGTTCAAACCCATAGGGGTGAGTTGGAGTGCCACCATGGGGGTTTTGGGTTCATCCTGGTGCCCCCTGAACTCAGGTCAATGAGGTCAGTACACAGCTGCCACTGGGACTTGGGGCACTTGAGTTATTTAATGATGGGAGCTTCCATTTCCTTATCAGTAAAATGAATGTAGGAATGAACTCTTTCCTATGGAACAAGTGACATCATTGCTGATGTCAGATGGATCTTGGCTGGAAGTAGAGACTACCAGAACAATGTTTTCGTGTATTTTATTGACTGTCATGCAAAGGCATTCGACTGTGTGGATCATAACAGACTGTGGAAGCCTTGAGAAGAATGGGGTGGTTGCACTCATGTAGTACCTGGATGTGGCCTGACGCAGTGTTCAAGACCTGGGGCCAAACATAACACGAGCAGTGAGGACGACCCAGGGCCGGGCAGGGGCTCATTCTGTTGGGCATCGGGTCACTCCGAGTGGCAACCAGCTCAATGGCACCTAACAGCAGCAGCAGTGACAGGAGCATTTGGAGTTGGAGTTGCAAAGATCCAGACAGTGCAGGATGAAAATGACCTTAATGGTTCCATCTCCTAAGGATGGACAAGAAAAGTCTTAGGTCACAAAAGTAGTTGAGCGCGCGCGCGCCCGAGACCATTTGTTGAACTGGATACAGCGGGACCTGAGGTGTCATGGACACAATTGAGCCAACATTTTCTTTGGTGACCCCTGCTGAGACCGTGCCCTTTGCGATATAACCAAACTCCACTAGAACGAGCGGAGATGAGAACATCGCGAGCCTTGGAACCATGAGCGAAGACGACTCTGAGACATGTGGCCACCATTGGTCCGGTCAGGAGCAGCCCGGCACCGGCCGGGCCCGGGTTGGTGGCGATCGTTGCTACTGAAAGGGAAGAGCGCAGAAGGCTCGGCCTTTGCAGCAGAAAGCTGCCGTCGGGTTTTAAGGAAAGGACGTGGTGATGAGCTTTGGGTTTTGAGAAGACCACTTGGCGATGGCTGGGGTGAGCTGGGTGGGAGCTTGGACCAGTGAGGATGGCAAGACTTCACTTTCGAGAGCGGGTGAGAGGCGGGCAAGATGCTGTGCAGATTGGGTCTCTGACTTGCATATTGGGGGGAGTTTGGTTGGTTCTCTGAAGAAATGAGCCCTGGAAGAAGACCAGGTTTCTAGGCAAAGTGGGAAGATGATGACTGTGGTTTGGGACACTTTGAGTTTGAGATGAGCAGCCGTTGAGACCTTCAAAGGTTTGAGAAAGAAAAGGGAAGCTGAAGGAAGCAAGGACTCCAGGTGTTCGCCAAGGTGGTTGATTAGAAATGAGCAGAAGACGATCCAAAGCTTCCATCTGTCCAGTCACCTAATTCAGGGCAATTAGCAAATGTCCTGAAAGGAAGGATCCCATTCAGAGCTACTCTAACCAAGCACTCGGTTGGGGAGGGGTGGGATGGGGGACACACGGGGACAGAGATGCACACGACCTTGGTGACATCCTCTCAGACTGCCCTGGTCAGCACTAAAGATGAAGGCATTCAATGGACAAATACTTAAGAGTGAGGGATAGTCAGTATATTAAGGAAATGATTGTGCCCAGGCATTTTAAAAAGAATTTGCTCCAAATGGTTTGAGGGGGAGCTGATTACCGTAGGAAAAATAAGCCTGTCAGCTGAGCCAGGAAATTTGTTGACTTAAGATTTAGGGGCATGTCTGCATTGTCTGCTTACATTTTGCTGTGTTTTAAGTTTATTTTTTGCCAATATTTATTACTTTGTGTAATTAGAAAAACAAATAAGCTGTTAGCTGGAACTGTAGTAACTTCATGATATTGTCAAAGGTGGGGAATAACCAAGGTAGAACCATTGCCCTGGTGTGGCAATGGCTAGTGCTCACTAAGTGGAAGGTTGGTGGTTTGAACCCACTAGCTGTTCTGGTAGAGGGTGGGAGTGGAGAGACCTGTCCCTTTGCTTCTGCGGGGCTGTGGGGCAGCTCTGCTCCGCCATGTGGGGTGGCTGTGAGCCAGAGCCAACCTGAAGGTGCACATCAGCAGATTTACACATGCTTCTTGCTGGGAAGGGTAGATAATGACACCAAAGAAGAGAAGCCACTACCACCATGACCGAGATAAAAAGGGTTATTTGGGAGTACGACAGAACCCGTAACTTAGATGAAATGGACTAATTTCTAAAAAGGCATCAACTATCAACACTGACTCCAGAAGGCAGAGGAAATCTGGGTAGACATAAAAATAAGTAAAGAGATTGAATTAAAACTCCCCACAAAGAACAGTCTAAGATTAGCTGACTTCACTGGTGAATTCTTCCACATATTTAAAGAAGAATTTATAAGGATTCTTTCAAAAGACAAAATAAACAGAACAGAAGAAAAAATTTCTCAACTTATTCATTGAGGCCAGTATTACCCTGCTACCTAAAGCAGACATAGCCGTCATAAGAATAGAAACCATCAGCCCGACACCCTTTCTGAACCCACCCACGGCCCTCAAGTCCGTTCTGAGTCACAATGACCCTTTATAGCAGTGGTTCTCAACCTGTGAGTTGTGACCCCTAGGGGTGTATGTTGACAGATCCTTTCACAGGGGACACCCAATTCATCACAGTAGCAAATTGACAGTTATGGACTAGCAACGAAAATAATTTTATGGTTGGGGGGGGGGGGAGTATCTTTCACAGCTTTTAAAGTTATATAACATTCAAATTTCTGATTCCATTAATCAAGCTTTATTGGGATA